CCCACTTCCCCCACCCTGCACTGAGCTGGCCCTGTTCTTACAGACCCTCAGGCATCTTGATGCTGTTCTCAGAGGCCGCCCCACCCCACCTCTGCCACCTCTAGGAACTGCCTTGTTTACAGAATCTTAATCCTAGAAAAGGGCCCCATCACAGTCCGATGAGACCTTACTGAGCACATGCCCTCAAGGGCGGACTCAGAGCTGCACTGGGCTGCAGGAAGGGCTGGGAATGCACTTCTCTCCCTGCCTGGAGACCTGGAGACATACAAACCTTGAACTGTCGGCTCAGCCCAAGGTCCTGGATGGATTAGGAAGAGCTGCAGGTCATTTCCTTTCTTCCTGCTACCCCAAAAGGGGGCTTTCCAGTCTGGAAAGGGAAGGAGTCTGTGTGTCCTTGACGTGGACAGGCAGGCTGGTGGGTAGGGGGTTGGCATCCACTCCAGAAACAGGAAGGCTAGTCCCAGCCTCAGGTCCAGGCTTATTTGGCTTCCCTCCAGCTGGCCCTGGTGGGCTAACCTATATCTTGGAGGTAAGATTCCTCTCCCTCACGCCCTAATCTGGAGATGCAATGACCCAGTGCAGGCCAAGGTGGGCTGGCCTGGCAGGGTCACCCCAAGCTTCAGCCTATACAAGGCTTTCAGCCAAGGTGCTTCAGCTTCCTCCATCTCTACCAGGTCTCCCCAGGACACTGTGGGGCCCCATATGGGGAACAGCAAGCTTGCCTTGTCCATGTCCCAGAGCACTGGACCAAGAGTTCTGAAAGGACAGAAGCTGTGGGCCAGACAGATCTGCTTCCCCAGCTTCCCTTTTAGGGACTGCCTCTTACACTTCACCCAGCCCTACACTCTTGCACTGCTGGGCTTCCAGGACTCCTGGCCTCCCCTAGCCACAGTCTCACATGGCATGCTGCTGTTGTTGAGACAGGAACCAAGTAACTGACAGCAGACCATGGTGGGGGCAGAGGCGAGTGCAGGAGAAGGTGGCTGTTTGGCACCTCAGAGGGCCCATCCCCCCCAAGGCAGGGTATAACCTCCAGATTGTGGTGGGGAGTTTGCGCAATGCCTAAAGGGGAAGGGAGGGTGTGGGTGCCATCAGAAGCCATCTAGCTGTCTCGAGATACAACTGAAGGTGGCCGTGGAGTGGGCAGCTGTGCCCTTGCCCTTCCGATCACTTGATGCTTAGTGAGATGACCATAGTGATAGCTGACCTTTTGGCTCTGCATCTCTCTTCATCTCTCCCCAAGCAGAGTGACCCCAGGAGAGCCACAACCTGGCTGCAGACCTCACTTTACCCCACCCCACCCCACCTTTTCTCCTTGTGACAGGAACTCAGAAGGCAGTCGGGGACCTGCAGGAAGGGGGCCATCCTGCCAGCTTGGGGCCACAGGCTTCTGGCTGCCAGAGCCTGCTGTCCTTCCTGTTTGTGACGCCAGGCTGGCAGGGGCCCTTGCCCCAGCCTCACCCACACCAGAAACCTGTTCCCTTCCTGGGTGGATTTGAAGGAACCTCCCCCACATCTTCCTTAGTACTGTCTAGCCCTCCGATGCCAGCCAAGGTTGGCAGCTGTATGGGTCCCTGGTCATGAGAACATGCTAACTGAGGAATAGATTCAGAATGAAAGAGGAAAAGGGGGGAGGGTTGAGAAAGCACGAGTCAAAGGGAAAGCCAGCGGTTCTCAACATAGCTCTTCACCTCACGGGGCCTCCCAGCTCACTGGGCTGTCTGGGAAGCAAGGGCATTCAACCCAGAGCTACAGTTAGGAGCACACAGGACCAGGACCACACACTCTACCCAGCCTAAGAGACCTTGTGGACCCTCCTCCAGCCAGGGCAGGGCACAGCCCTACAGACTGCTGCACCTCTGCACACACAGGCTTGGGGCAGCAGGAGGGTGAGGAACATGCTATCTATGAAAGTGCCTGCCCACCTGCCTGATGCTCACCCAACCTCCAAGACTGGCCAGATGTGTGCCTAGAGGTCCCCCTGGTGGCCATTTTCTGAAGTCACCTGAACTTGCTACGGAGGGAGCTGCCAGCTTTCTTGGGACATGGGGCTCAGAGTTTGCCTTTGGGGAAGCATAAGGATGGGGACTTGTAGGATTTCAGGCAGTAAAGGGCACCTAGGTGAGGGAGCATGCTGCTCAGGGGTAACATGAACGCGGCATCAGGAGGCCACTGGGCTGGGCAGCAGGCAGACAACCCTAAAGGGCTGGGAAAGCTGTGGTCTCTGTGCACTCCAGCCCCTCTTTTTTTCATTCTTTCCCATTGGGGAATGAGCAAGTCCTTGTACATGTCCAGGTGCAGCTGTTGCATGAGCTACAGATCTGCTGAGAGCTGCTTCTCTAGGGACCCATATACCTCACTTTGCATATCCTTTTCTGTTTTGCAGCAGGACACACTCCTCTGGGCTGCACAGCTGTTAGAAGGCTGAAGCTGGGTACCCAGAATCCGGGGCCACTCCCTGGCCCCCCAGGCTGGCAGGGGCTGAAGGACGTACCTCCTAGGTGGTGAAGACAGGAAGAACTGTGTGTGTGTGTGTGTGTGTGTGTGTGTGTGTGTGTGTGTGTGTGTGTGATGTAGCACCTTATTTTTTGGTTGTGAACCTAGCCTTTAACAGCTGAGCTATCCCTCCAGCCTGCACCTTATTTTTTCCCATTTGTTTTATTTGAATTAGAAACAAGATTGTTTTACCTGTCAATCCCAGTTTCCTCTCCCTCCCCTCCTCTCCTACCGCCCCCTTCTCCAACTAAAACCCTACCTATCACATATCCTTTATGCTCCCCAGGGAGGGTGAGGCCTTCCATAGGGAGTCTTCAGAGTCTGTCATATCCTTTGGGGTAGGGCCTAGGCCCACCCCCGTGTGTCTTGGCTTAGGGAGTATCCCTCTATGTGGAATGGGCTCCCAAAGTCCACACCTATGCTAGGGATAAGTACTGGTCTACTACAGAAGACCCCATGATTTCCAAGGCCTCCTCAATGACACCCAGGTTCCTGGGATCTGGAGCAGTCTCATGCTAGTACCTTATTTTTTTTAAGACAGGGTATTTCACTGAATATGGAGCTCACCAATTGGCTAGATGCCTAGCAAGCAAGCCCCTGGGAACCCTGGTCTTTAGGGCTATAGACATACACCAACACTCCTACCACACTTTTTAAAAAAATTACATTGGTGGGGCTTAGAGAGATGGCTCAATGGTTAAAAACACCAGCTGCTTTTCCAGAGGACACAGGCTTAATTCCCAGCACTAATGTGGTAGCTGTAACACAGCCCCAGGGAGATCCAACACACTCTGCTAACCTTCAAGGACTGCACATGTGTGGTAGACAGACAGACATGCACACAAAACACCCATAAACACAAATTTTTTATAATTAATGGCATTTGGGGATGGAATGATGACTCAGAGGTTAAGAGCCATCTCTGATCTTGCAAAGAACCTAAGTTCAGTTCCTAGAGTCTATTGTGGGTGTTACAACTACCTGTAACTCCAGCTCTAAGGGATCTGACCCCCTCTTTCTCACCTCTGTGGACACCTGCACGCACAACCCCACACAGAGACACACATACATATACATAGGTTTTTATTTAAAGATAAAAATCTTTTAAGATTGCATTTATTTATTTAGGGTGTGTGTGTCTGTATATACACATGTGCCATGGAGCACTTGAGGAGGTCAGAGGACAACTTGCTGGAGTCAGTGGTCTCTTTCCATCATGTGGGTGCTGGACAATGAATTGAGTTCATCAGGGTTGGCAGCAAGCACATTTACTGGCTGACCCATCTTGTTAGTCAAAATCTTTTAAGTTTCATATTACTTATTTGTGTGCACTTGTGCATGTATGGAGGTCAGAGGATGACTTGCAAGAATCTGTGCAGTGATATATTATTTATGATTTATTAAAGCTTGCCTGAGGATTCAGAAAGCAAAGCCAGCCTCAAGCTAGATATACCAAGCAGTGGTAATACACACCTTTAATCCCAAGACTCAGGATTAAGAGGTAGACAGATCTCTGTTAGTTCAAGGCCACACTGACTACACGAAATTGATCTAGTCCTAAAAAGAAACAGCTCACACAAAGATGATGCCAGGATTTGAGAGGTATAAAAAGTAGAGGCATTCAGTCTGAGAATATCTGAGGACCAGTGAAGTCGGGGGCAGTTTGAGGATTGCCCATTTGGTCTGAGCTGAATCAAAGATAAGAGTTAGTGGCTAGATGCTTTGCTTTTGTGATCTTCAGCTTGAAGCTTGAACCCCAATATCAGTGTCTGGGTCTTTTATTTTTCATGTAACAAATCTGATCTCTCCTTCTATAATGTGGATGTTGAATTCAAATTGTCAGGCTTGGCGGAAGCAGGGTCTTTACCCATTTAAGCCATCTTGCCAATCTTTTATGTGGATGCTGCCAATCCCAGGTCCTCATGCTTACATGGTAAACACTCTACAAAAGGAGCCATCTCTCCAGTCCCTGAAGCTAGGAGACCATGTTTCCTAAGATCACTGACTACACATTCTATTTCATGCATGGTCTCCCTCCAGAGTCTTGCTGGTTTGGGAGCACGGTCCGAATGGATGGGTGTCACCCCAGATTTGTGCTGGGGTAGAGATTGTCACCCTTTGGCATCTGCACTGAGTGGCATCTGGAGGTTTGCTAAGAAGACAAAGCACTTGAAACAGGTGCATCCCACTGGGCTTCCTGTCACAAGAATCAGGAAGAGGAGTTGGGATCCCAGGGGCCAGGCCTGCAGGAGGCTCAGGTGGGCTAAGGCCTCTGGCAAGTCAAAGCAAGGGCTTCTATGAGACTGGCTTCTTGTTAAAGCCAAACAAAGTACCCCTCAGCAGGGGCCCTGGAGCAGAGAAAGGACAGCCGGACTACTGGCACAGGGAATAGTGTGATATTCTGGGAAAGGCCAATACTCTGGGAAAGGCCAAGCTATGTTCCTTGCTTAAGAGTTGAATCACAAAGCCCCCATAGACCCCAGAGTAGCCCACCTATACTGCATAGTAGGCAGCAAAGACCCTAGGAACCACTGAAGATATCCAGTGTGAAGGTGGACCTCTAGAACAGACCAGCAGGGACAACATTGCAAACATTGTAGACCTCCCTCTCTAAACTGAGTCTGCAACTCTGAGAAGACCCCAGCTCTGTCTACAGCCCCACCAGCGAGACAGGTGTGCCGAGCATCAGGTTGTCCTTTTCCCTGGGTGAGGCCACATCTCTCTACATCCCAGTCCTCTGTGGTCATCTCCCCTCAAGGCAGATAGGTGACAAAGACCATCCACGAGCTATGCCTTGTGCTCAGCTTTCTCCTTCATCTTCTCCCACACCATAGCCCAGAAGGAAACAGGTTTGTGATAAAGGTCAGCCCAGGGTCACAGTGAGTGAGAGAGGGTTTTCAGCTGTGGAGGACTCTGGCTCCCAAAATATATTGCTTTA